CGAAGGCGATCGCGGGTGCTGACGGGTGGACCGACCATCGCCTCGTCATCTCGAAGATGCGTATTCGCCTACAGCCTCGCAGGAGACCACAAGGTAAGCGACCCCCAGGTAAGCTGAATGTTGCTTTGTTGTCTTTGCCTGATCACCGTCTCCATTTCAGCAATGAGCTAGCTCAACGGCTAGACAACCTTCCTATCGCTGCCGCCGCCGACGACGCCGCCGCAGCTGCCGAGAACGCCTCCGCGGAGAACCGCTGGTGTCAACTGCGTGACACAGTCCAGTCGACGGCGCTCGCCGTCCTCGGTCGCGCTCCCCGCCAACACCAGGACTGGTTCGACGACAACGACGCTGCCATCAGCAATCTGTTTGCCGAGAAGAACCGCCTACACAAAGCCTACGTAGATCACCCCACTGATGCCACCAAAGCTGCCTTCTACCGCAGTCGCCGCCAACTTCAGCAACGACTGCGCGAGATGCAGGACGCCTGGACTGCTCGGAAAGCTGAGGAGATCCAAGGCTACGCGGACCGCAACGAGTGGAAGAACTTCTTCTCTGCAATCAAAGCTGTCTACGGTCCGCCGACGAAGGGCACTTCTCCTCTCCTCAGCGCCGACGGCAGCACTCTCCTGACTGAGAAGACGCAAATCCTACAGCGATGTGCCGAGCACTTCCGAGGCGTCCTCAACCGCCCTTCCGTCATCTCCGAAGCCGCCATCGCCCGCTTGCCGCAAGTGGAGACCAACGTGGACCTCGACCTCCCGCCATCTCTCCAGGAAACCATCAGGGCCGTGCAGCAGCTCTCTAGCGGGAAAGCACCCGGATCGGACGCAATCCCTGCTGAGCTCTACAAGCACGGAGGTCCCATACTGATGGATCACCTGACTGCGCTCTTCCAGGAGATGTGGCGTCAAGGTGAAGTCCCGCATGATTTCAAGGACGCAAATATCGTGCACCTTTACAAGCGAAAAGGGAATCGCCAAGTCTGCGACAACAACCGCGGCATCTCCCTACTGAACATCGCCGGGAAGATCTTCGCTCGCATCCTGCTCAACCGCCTCAACAACCATCTGGAACAGGGCCTTCTGCCGGAGAGCCAATGCGGCTTCCGTCGTCATCGTGGGACCACGGATATGATCTTCGCAGCCCGCCAACTTCAGGAGAAGTGCCAGGAGATGCGGACCCTTCTGTACTCTACCTTCGTGGACCTGACGAAAGCCTTCGACACGGTGAATCGTGAAGGACTGTGGAAGATCATGCAGAAATTCGGCTGTCCGGAGCGATTCACTCAGATGGTGCGTCAGCTGCACGACGGTATGATGGCGCGAGTCACGGACAACGGAGCTGTCTCAGAGGCATTCGCAGTGACCAACGGAGTGAAGCAGGGCTGTGTGCTGGCGCCTACCCTCTTCAGTCTCATGTTCTCTGCCATGCTGATGGACGCCTACCGCGACGAACGCCCTGGAATCCGCATCGCCTACAGGACTGACGGTCACCTCCTGAATCAACGGCGGATGCACTTCAAATCGCGCGTATCCACAACCACCGTGCACGAACTCCTCTTCGCCGACGACTGCGCCCTGAACACCACCTTCGAAGCGGAGATGCAACGCAGCATGGACTTATTCGCCGCCGCCTGCGAGAACTTTGGGCTGGTCATTAACACGCAGAAGACGGTGGTGATGCATCAACCGCCACCCAACTCATTCACTGCCCCCAACGCGCCGCCGCAAATCAACGTAAATGGGACTCAACTGCAAGTGGTAGATAACTTCTCGTACCTGGGCAGCACGCTCTCCCGCAACACCAAGATCGACGACGAAGTCGCCAACAGGATCTCGAAAGCCAGTCAAGCCTTCGGTCGCCTCCAAAGCACACTTTGGAATCGTCACGGTCTCCAACTGAGCACAAAGCTGAAGATGTACAAGGCCGTCATCCTGCCGACGCTACTGTACGGAGCGGAGACCTGGACGGTGTACACGAGGCAGGCACGTCGACTAAACCACTTCCACCTCAGCTGTCTCCGCCGCATCCTGAGGCTGAACTGGCAGGACCGCATCCCCGACACCGAAGTGCTGGAACGGACGGGAATTCTGAGCATCTACTCCATGTTGAGACAATTGCAGCTGCGCTGGAGCGGCCATCTGGTGCGCATGGACGACGAGCGACTACCCAAACGACTCTTCTACGGAGACGTCGCGACGGGTTCTCGTCGTCAAGGAGGCCAAATTCGCCGTTACAAAGATACTCTGAAGTCCTCCCTGAAGCGCCTGCACATCAACCCGACCAACTGGGAAGAGCTCGCCCGCGATCGTCCGACATGGAGGAGAACAGTGAAGACGGGCGCTGCTATCTACGAAGCCAACCGCATCGCCGCCGCCAAAGTGAAACGCGAAGTCCGCAAATCGCAACTTCGCCCAATACGCAACGCCGCCGCACAACCTCTCCCTACGTGTCCTCGATGTCAACGGACATTCCGGGCACGAATCGGACTTGTTGGACTTCTTCGATTCAACTGCACCTCTCGAACTGCTCCAGCCATCGTCCCCGCGCCCGCCTCTTCCTCGTCCTATCTTCCGCCAGCTAACTCTGACACTCCTTCTGCACCACCACTTCCATCCTCCTCCTTCTCCTCCACTGCCCCAGCGGTGGCCGTTCAGGCTGCCGTCTCACACATCGCCAACCACGACACAGCAACTGCAACCACCCCCATCTGCCCTCACTGCGATCGCACCTTCACTTCACGCATCGGCCTGGTCGGTCACTTGCGAATCCATCGCACAGAGACTGGCGAACCAGTGCCTGGAGCACCAACCTACACTCACCGCACTCGCCTCCACTGCCCACACTGCCCTCGCACCTTCAGGCATCGCATGGGTCTATTCGGCCACATGCGCATCCACAACGAGCTGCGGTAGACAACCGCCGGTCACACCACACATTCCCTCACTCCCTACCTCCTAACACCATCACCCAACCAGACATCAACCCCCACACACCTCATGCACTGAACTGCCGCCTCCCACGCAAGTAGGAAGTGAGCATCTCGACACGGTCCCCATGCGGCCTCGGCTGCACGAGTGACTTGAGTCCGAGACTATCCCGACACGTCAAGCGTCGTGGATAGGAAGGTTGCTCATTGACGCCCGTTCTCGGTTCACGCAGTTCGTCCCGTTGTGTGTGTGTGTTGTGTAGTGGCGGACTGGTGAGAGACACGCCGTTGAACCCCCGTTGTGTGAAATCCTGGTGTTTGTGTGTATGGGGGGCCAGGTCGTGCTGTGGCGCGCGCAGGTATGGTCAGTCGACCATGTCAGCCACCGCGCCCATTCCCCACTCCAGTCTACTGACCGGCTCGGACAGTGGCTGGGGTGTGGGAATGGGAAGGGAGAGTGAGGTCGACGACTCAGCGCATTTTCCTCACTATAAACAATCTGACGCGCTTGAAGCTATCACGGTGCGCTAAAAGCCGTGGCTTGGTAGGTTGCCAACTGACGGGGTACCTTGGACCTCCTCCTTCACTGGAGGCGGTCTGAGAGTCAGGCTGCAATGGCTCGTTTTTAATGTGGCCTTTATGGCATGCCCACCACAGCGTGGGATCCGAGCCAGGCGTTGGCGGCACGCCCAGGTGCGGCTTCGGCCGTGCCAGCCTCCAAATCTCTGTTGTGTTGGTTGAAATCCTGGTTATTGTTGTGTGGACCAGGGGGTGTGGTGGAACGCCAAGGTGAGGATCCGTCCGAGCCATCCACCTGCGGCCTCCCTCGTCTCCGGTCTTCTTGACTCTGTCTTGACACCGGGCCCAGGCGGGGGAGGAGGAGAGAGTGTAGGTAGATGCAGCGCAAGTCTTCTGGCACTATAAACCCCTGCGTAAGTCACCGTCCCTGCTCCCACCGCTGCTGCAGCTGTGGGGCACACGGTGGACATCGTCGAAATCGACGGTCGAACTGTCACCTCTGACTATTGACTCCTGCACGAGTCTGAAAGCTCAGGATAATATACACAGTGTTCCGGTGATCGACTCTTCTTCCTCACTTATGCATACATCTGAAACTAGACATTTCGCCTTCAAACTGATCATTGTGCGGTATAATTCCAAGAAAGTCCAGTGGCACCTGGATGCTGGCTTTTGAATGAACTTCTTTTTGATCGTCTGCATGAATCACACTCGGTAAAAATTACTGCTTAATTATTTTGCATTATTCTTGTACGTTTTCCCCTTTTTATCAACACTTTTGCCATATACTTTACACATTTTGTTCATCCCCTAAAATTACGTCATTCTGTTTTTCTCCAACCGTCGTACTATATGTTTAAATCTCCCGTCTTCTCGCGTATTTTGATACTACCTTTCCGGATATACGCCACATCTTTCTGACTGTACACCATACCCCTCTGACTGTATACGTTTGGAGACATTTGGTTGTAAGTGTGGCATTTAGATTTTCCTAATCCTGCCAATTATAGAACCGTGTCTCCGTACAATTCTTGTCTTACTTACCCTGTTTCCACGTACGGGCGGCACGAAGTAAGCCAACTCAGACAGCTTAATCTAGACAGGGTACAAAGCAGCTAGGTTCAACAGACTCTGTGTGAGTTACTCAAACGGGCCATCAGTTGGCGGTCGAATGTACTCCACAATTTCTACTGATTTCCTATACCCTAATAAATCAAAGCATGCTTTAGAGAAAATGTACTCAAAAAACCTTCCTTGTAGTCACTTGGTAGCAAGCTACGTCCTCAAGGAGGTGACATATTTCGGTTTAAAAACTTTAATTATGGTATTTTTTAAGGCATCCATTCGTGCAGCATCGAACCTTTCCATTTATTACAACACGGTCCACATCGACTGCGAAGTTTCATGAGCCACGTCTGGAATCTTCTTAACAAGCCCAGAAAAATGTGTGAATTTCCTTACACCGAAAGTACTCAGCATGTAATGTGGACAGCCGAAGTGCAAATGAAACTGCAACTCGGGCTCAAAATTAGTCGGGAAGTGAAAGGGGTCGACCATCGGGTCCACTGAGAAGACGAGAGCCAGGGACAACTGTACTATTCGTATGGTGTTGTAGTTGAGGTATTCGGGAGTGGCAGATACCTGTTTTCGGGACACAAATGTAAAAAACACACCTTTAAGCCATTAGCTTGTTCAAGCACACCAGAAAGCGTGGAAACGCGAGCGCGCAACCTGAAATACTGGAAACTAGAAACTGTAAACGGGCGCCTGACAAAACCTCATTCGAATCATAATGACGGCCAGATGTGGCTATGCAGCCCCACCTGAATTAGACGAACCCAAGTCACCTGTTCTGCGGGACCGGTGGTAATAGGGGTTTTTACAGGTGTGGCCGGGGAACTTACAGGCGAAGAGGTCAAATAGTTGTATGCAAAAGAATAGTTATTGATAATGCGCGGTCGTACTTTGAGTGGTTCAGAAATAGTTCTCCTAACACTAACCCCCTAATTCTAGTCCCTGACCATGAGCCCTAACCCAAACCCCCAACTCACACCCCTAACCCCTAACTCAAACCTCTAACCTCCACTCCTAACCCTTAACCACAACCCCTAAACCATAACCCCCGCAGTGCTTTGTCCATCTGGCGGAGCCACATAACACATCTTACCAGAATGACTACTTGAATAATATGCATATACGTCTTCCCCAACCTCTCCGGTCGAAGAATGGCTGTGTTTCAGCCTTAGAGAATGTCTAAATTTCTTAATAATTTTGAACCCAATTTGCGACTTCACTTTCGTTTACGCCCCCAACTACTCATGATGAACCCCCAAATTATCCAGTCGGAGACCATATACAGGCAGTTTCTGGAATATTTTTCCGCATCTTTTTATGCATCTGCAACAGCCGACAGGCGCATGGACTTGCGGAGGCAGCCCAGTTTACGTGATTAACAGAGTATGACGTAATCCGAAGCTCCTTTTCGCTTGCCGACAAGGTGGCCTTGGAAAACCAGCATCCACTGCGGCGGCTACGACAGCCGGTGGACCAACCGGGAAAGAGCAGTGCCAGTAAAATGCGAGATAGCAGGATCCGGACAATTGGGCGGTGGGAAATCGCATGTCTTGATAAAAGAGGAAGCAAAAATCGGCCCATCACTTGCCGCGAACAGCATGAAAGCCGGCCCAGGCGGTGGGACCAATGAGATTCCAGTGTACTAACGACTAGACTCCTGTCCAATCAGAAGTCAGTACACAAAGCAAAGGCAAGTTCGTTCATCTGGCAGAAACGTTTTTGGCCAAATCAGAGAAACGCCATCCGCACGCAACGCCAACCTACTTACGGGCAACGTCAGGTCTGACGTCAACTTTCGATAAACAGTGCCACGAAGGGCGTGTAAACAACGAAAAAAATCTGAAGAAAGAAGCCGAAATGCGCCAAAGCAGCGCGTTTTCGCGCTTGCCAGTCCGATTTTGACTCGAACCGACTTTGAGTCGGCCTAGGGAAGCTGAGTTCGTTGGGCGCCACTGTGGATTCGACGTTGCTACCAGTACCGACCAATAACTGTCGGTCGGCCTCTAACTGACAATAAGTCATTACGTTTACCTCGAAAATGCAGATGTTGGAACTCAACCGTGATCTAACAGGTCTGTGGATCAGTAAAGAGTCACCCTAGCCACTTATCGATGTTGACGGCACAAAAATGCCTGATTTAACAGCGAGTTGCGGTGCAAACGCAAAATTTGTTATTCTTCCTAGAGATTAAGGACGAAAGCCAACTTTTCAGCTATGTCTTTCAGGGAATTACGTCCTCTTTGTCTCTAATATCTAAAGGAAAAGAATGCATCTGCCTGCGAAAACATCTACGATAATTTAAATACTCTCACAACTGCAGCATGCAAATAGGTATTTATGTTTTGTGTTGGACTGTAGCTCTTTGGACTGTCGCGTGGCGAAGAGCGGTCAGTCATCAGTTAAGGCTACCGATGAGGATTAGAAACATGACCATTTTGACTCATTATCCATTTCCAGCCGGTGGTGTCTCGATCCAAATTCCCCCAAGGTCTGATTCCAGGCCTAGTGAACCACTGGGCTGGTTAAGTTCGACTCTCCACTAAACTGAGTTACCGGATTCGCCTTCTGTTGGTTAAAGCAAAGAATGTGCGAACACAGCGGAGCTCACCGGCATACCCAGAATGTAGCGCCAGAATGGGATGTCAGAATGTTTTCGTGAAGGGGTAAAAGGAGGGGTAGACGCCGTCCATGCCTCAAAAGTACAGGAACTATAGAACATCCGGCAGGACTGATGTATAATTACCTCCACCTGAGATTTATACATACAGAGTTGGTACTTGCTTTCGTCGTTTAGACGTCTGTATTGAGTTAGCGACCTCAGAAGTGATACTTAAAGCATTACGCTCACAATATTAGTTTCAGTGAACCTCATTTGTTCAGACGAAGTTTGACTATCTGCACTGAAATCGATACTTTTGAAGTCATGCCCAGCCTAATTATTAGGAAATGCACAGTCTAGAAATGTGTGCGCTATAACAGAATGGCATTGCTGGGGGTTGGTTCTCCTGGTATCGTTCTCGCAGGCATTATGAGTGGCATTCAACGACGACGTTGGAGGGGTGTTGGGGGGTGGGAGGATCCACGTTCACGACCCACAGTGTGGTGTGAAAGTTGGTTTGGGAGAGGAGGACTATATTTCAGTTCAGCCGGACATTCTTAAAGCAAAACTGGTTCCTTCTTTCAGATGATAAACTTCAGAAAGACCAACTTCTCGACGGAACGAGTGGAAGAAATTGCATTTTTACAGACACCATGGGGCCTACTCAAAGCAGCTTTCTGAGGACAGTGTATAGGTACAATTAACTGCCTATTGAGAGGACTTGAGTATAATGTGGTCATTTATCTGAAGCTGGTGCAATTTGTCCCGGATATTCACATAAACTTCCAGACTGG